AACATGTAATATTTATTTTGTATTCTAATTAATAATGTAAGGTTGGTATAGTTAAGTAGTTTCTTTTGTTTGTATATGGTTTTTCTTCTTAAAGTGTCTTTTATGTACATACTATGTTTAATTTTGGTTAAATATCCGATTTCATGCATGAATTCCATCAAGTTTGAAATTCTACAATGTATCTAAAATATGTTCTATCTTGTCGCGTTATATTTCCGTTTCATTTTGAAGTCTCCATCTTAACGTGTCTTCATTGGCTAATCTGGTATCAACAACTTCTCATGACTTATTCTCTTCTCTTTTCTTTTCCTTTGTATTTGTGAAATTTCGATACACTCCTCCCCTTCTTTTTCCTTTTCCTTTTCTTTCCCTTCTCTCTATAGTAGGATTGCCTTTCTTTTCGTTCCTCTTTCTATTTCTTTTTATTGATTTCTTATTCTCTTCCTTTTTTACTTTAAACTGATTTTTTCCTTATTTTTCTTTTATGGAAATTTTTTTATATATTTGTTTCTTTGCCTTCTATGGAAAAGTTTCAAAAATGGAAAAAGAAGTGATGTTCCATAAGTTGCATTTTTAAATAAAATCTTATATTACCACCAATGTTAACCACCTGATGAGATGTCTTAATTAGACATCGGAACAAATATGCATTTTTGTCGTGGTAACTTGTAATAATATACAGGGTGTTTCAAAAAGAATACGCCAAAATCATTACACTGTTTTGCATTGTAGTGGACTGAATCAGTGGTTATTTGATAGAGTAGTTATCAAAGTTTGATTAGGTGTCAGTTTCACCGCTGCCGTTAGTATAACTTCCGGTGCAGCTGAATTGTGGGAATATCAATCAAAATGGCGACTCCTCAGCAGAAGGCATTTTGCGTGCTTGAGTACAGAGCACCCACATGAAACTGTTGAGCATGAAATAGATTCCCCTAACGTGAACGTCTTCTGTGCTGTGTCTCAAGACAAGGTCTATGGTCCTTTTTTCTTTGAAGGAAACACCGTTACAGGACAAACCTATCTCGAAATGCTCCAAAAATGGCTATTCACTTTACTGCAAGCAGATTCGAATGACTTCATTTTTCAGCAAGATGGAGCATCACCCCATTGGCATCTCGGGGTTAGAGCTTATCTGAATGAAAACGTGCCTCAGCGATGGATTGGGAGGAGAGGTGCTAAAAGACCTTGCTCTCTGTGCTTGGCCTGCCAGATCCCCGTGTTACGGACCCAGTAGAATGCAGTGCTGGTTTAATAGAAAGGTGGCCTTGTGCCAGACATTACACAAAACTACCGAGTCCACAAACAAAGTATAAATGTATTGCGTGAGTGAACATTGAGAGGAAAAGGTGTCAATCAACAAGTGCATAAATAATAATACAGGTAGATAGCCGGAATTGAACGACACAAGGCGTCTGGTTGAAAAACATATATGAAATTTTAAATTGAAACAAGTAGGTTGTCTCGTCATTCGAGATCATCAGAGAAAGTGTTCCGCGCCAAAACAGGAAAGCAAGATGGACAAGGCGGGAAAAAAGTTTTATCAGAATGAAAGTTCTGGAAAAATATGACTCGTTAATACGAAGTGTAGGTATGCACAAATAGAAAAAGTACTCACTGTGGAATTTTGTATTGTGAGTGTATGTAACATTTTTTTTTTTTTTTGGTACAGGTTCATAGTAGTTAGAATGTTCACGGATACGAGAAGTCTCATTCTTAACTGTTGAAAGTTTTAGAGTTCGTTGATCATGGACGAAGGCAGACTCGAACAAGACGTTCGCATTACGACTAGAGAATAGTTGTCGAAAAAGGTGAAGTGGCGAAAGTTGTCGTCTCGGAGTTTTTGGTCGAAAGACAAAGTGAAATGCAACAAGTTGTTGACTTAAGGACATTGAATTAATTGCTGAAAATTTTACATCGATTTGATGTGATTATTGCCGTTAGGATATCCCTGTCTTTATTATGGTTGACTGACGAGGGATAAAATAAGTCAACTTGTTGATACAAATTTCTGACCACGACTGTGTCGTGTATCTCGACGTTTTCTAGCCGAAAACGGAGAAGGTCCGACCTGTGGGTTACATCAAGACGAGAAGGAGTCTTGGGAAAGTGTAAGGTCGACATGTTGAAATAAGATATTCCGGCCCGCATATGGGTTAAGGGCACGGAATAAATGAGTTGCCCGTCTAGTTAGGTTGAAAGTCGGGAAGCAACTGAGTTGGAACGCTGGCGTCCGTGACGTCAAGAAAACGCGCGGGAAAAAATTCAAATTCTGTTAGGCTGACTTTATCAGCGAAAGCTGGTCATCGACCTTCGTTACTCTAGCGATTACTGCTACGTCTAGCTGTAAGAGAGAGGAAGGGGTTCAAACCGCGCGCACACACGCACGAGTGTGGAAGGAAGGGAGGAAAACTCGCACGCGCGTAAAATGTAGATGGAATTACTGTGTTATTCCATACCCGGACCTCACTGTGTGTGACTTTTTCTTGTGGGGGTATGTTAAAGACCAAGTTTATATTCCAGCACTTCCAGCAAGTATCGATGACTTGAAAAATCGAATAACAACTGCAATCAACACGGTGGACTGTGACATGCTGAGGCGCGTTTGGAAGGAATTCTCATATCGGCTTGATGTTGTCCGCGCTGCCGGTAGTGGCCACATTGAGCACTTATAAAACATGAAATGAAACTTGAATGTATATACAACACATGTGTTCATGCTAGAGGTTTGTAATTTTTTCGTTTTTGACACATCACATGATGATTTTGGCGCATTCTTTTTGAAACACCCTGTATAATAAATATCCATTACTCTACTCCTGTATTAAGCCCTTGTTTAAATTAATGTTATATTTATATTCTTTTCGCTCTTTTATATATATATATATATATATATATATATATATATATATATATATATAATGGACTCTCCCGTCGGTTTCGACGTATGAGGATCTGACAGGTTATTGATTCAGTTATGAAAGTTTATGCGATAATCTTAAGTGGCATTTAAGAACCGCTAGTGATTTACAAAGGAGGCCACATATGGAGCAAGGGTGAGGATTGTGAAATATATATATATATATATATATATATATATATATATATATATATATATATATGAAGAGAGACAAAAGGAAAACTTACCCTAGGCCTGTTATTCAGCACGGTTCGTCTTACACCAAGGGATATATATGCATTTGTATATGTGCGTACATTTATTTATATTCATCCATTTGATTATATTCACACACACACACACACACACATATATATATATATATATATATATATATATATATATATATATATATGGGTGTGTGTGAGCGTCATTTGAAGACAATATTGCTTCGCTGTATCACAGCTCTTCATTGCGACTAGACAACCGAATGCCTCAAGCCAGTCTCTAACACTGAGCTATTTTCCCTCGATAGAATGAGTCAGCCATCTCTAGCGTATTGTTTTTACAAATGTAAACAAATGTCAGTCAGCCGGAGTGCTCCATTCATTTTTCTGAAGAGCTTTGCATTAACGCAGGTGTCTGTTGTTTTTAGAATTAGCTTTTCATTCAACAACGCTCAATTATGTATAATGATAGAAGCACAGACTTTAGAAATCCATGATAATAATTTATTTCACAGGAACAATCGGATCCTGTCTCTTCAGACCAAACAATTTTACAACAATAGATGAATTTTAAATTTATCTAGGCACAAGCGAGAAAACAAAAAACTTTTTCAGACATAAGAGGGGAAGATTTATTTATTTTTCAAACTGGTCCTTTTCAGTTTTTCCACGAAATTCTTCATGTTAAAGTGAAATTCATCAAGGAAGGCGTCGGAATTCTTTTCCTACCCAAGTACTTTCGACTTCCTCCAAGATCATCCTATTTTCATTTCTGCTAATGTCTGGTTAGCTCCCTTATATTATAGCTACAACAGATAAATTTAAAATTTTAAAATAATAATAACAGAACGCGTTCACGCGTGTTTTTTTTTTTTTTTAATCACAATAAGATTGTCTTTATCATTTTCTCCTGAAGATGATCGAAAGTACTTGGGTAGAAAACTACGGTGTCCTACTTGAATAATTTCATCATATGAACAAGAATGTGGTTAGAGAACTGGAAAGGATCATTATAGAAAATAGACATAATATGTCTATATTATTCAATGAAACATGTATGTATGATATAACGATATATAATTTTGCATAACTGGATATATATATATATATATATATATATATATATATATATATATATATATATATCCAGTTATGCAAATATATATATATATACACAAAACAATATTGAGAAAATGGTATGACAAACTGGAAAAAAGTTCGATGAAATTCTATTGGATGAAACACATCACAAATATTTTATTTTCCAATTTGTCATATTATATATATATATATATATATATATATATATATATATATATATATATATCACAAGGAGCATGAAAAAAAAGCATCAAAAGACAATTTTAAGTTTTATTTATTTATTTATTTAGTTGTTCAAATATTTGTAAACTCGACAGGCATTCTTGGTTCAAAATTGAACCCAATTGTACAACGAAATATTCTTGGAGATCAGAAAAAGCATTAAAAAAAAACAATAACAATGTAATAACAAATGAAAATTAGAATAAAATTTAAAATATAATTAACGAAAACTCAGGGTTTGCAGAGTCTCATTTCTTCAGGTCTTAAAAGGTGCCAGGGAAAAATTCTCTGTAAAAAAAAACAAAGCAAAATACTGCTTAAGTTCCAAATTGTTTATCACCAGATTAGATTCATCCTGTTGGGTACATATCGGAGTGGTCAGTGGGTGCCTTTACACCGAGATCGAAATGTAAAGAGATGCCGGCTATTATACAGATCACTCATTGAGTGAAACATTGGCAGGAGATGAATATCTGACTACATCGACAGATGGTAGGTGGAGGTTGGGTAAATAAACAAACTTGATTAAAAAACGTATATCACGGAATGTTGAGATGACTTATGGAATTCGTCAGTGGCGACTGCCCGACCAGAGGGTACTCAGGAAGAGAGACTTGCTTATAAAGCTGATGCCGGCGATTTTACGGATCCCTTATGAAGGGCGGCAGTGGCTGGAAGCTCTTTGCCGACAAGCTGAACTGAGGGGACATCGGCAGCGAGATTTGATGCCAGCGATTTTACGGATCCCTTATGAAGGGCGGCAGTGGCTGGAAGCTCTTTGCCGACAAGCTGAACTGAGGGGACATCGGCAGCGAGATTTGATGCCAGCGATTTTACGGATCTCTTATGGAGGGCGGCAGTGGCTGGAAGCACTTTGCCGACAAGCTGAACTGAGGGGACATCGGCAGCGAGATTTGATGCCAGCGATTTTACGGATCCCTTATGAAGGGCGGCAGTGGCTGGAAGCTCTTTGCCGACAAGCTGAACTGAGGGACATCGGCAGCGAGATTTGATGCCAGCGATTTTACGGATCTCTTATGGAGGGCGGCAGTGGCTGGAAGCACTTTGCCGACAAGCTGAACTGAGGGGACATCGGCAGCGAGATTTGATGCCAGCGATTTTACGGATCCCTTATGAAGGGCGGCAGTGGCTGGAAGCACTTTGCCGACAAGCTGAACTGAGGGACATCGGCAGCGAGATTTGATGCCAGCGATTTTACGGATCTCTTATGGAGGGCGGCAGTGGCTGGAAGCACTTTGCCGACAAGCTGAACTGAGGGGACATCGGCAGCGAGATTTGATGCCAGCGATTTTACGGATCTCTTATGGAGGGCGGCAGTGGCTGGAAGCACTTTGCCGACAAGCTGAACTGAGGGGACATCGGCAGCGAGATTTGATGCCAGCGATTTTACGGATCCCTTATGAAGGGCGGCAGTGGCTGGAAGCTCTTTGCCGACAAGCTGAACTGAGGGACATCGGCAGCGAGATTTGATGCCAGCGATTTTACGGATCTCTTATGGAGGGCGGCAGTGGCTGGAAGCACTTTGCCGACAAGCTGAACTGAGGGACATCGGCAGCGAGATTTGATGCCAGCGATTTTACGGATCCCTTATGAAGGGCGGCAGTGGCTGGAAGCACTTTGCCGACAAGCTGAACTGAGGGGACATCGGCAGCGAGATTTGATGCCAGCGATTTTACGGATCCCTTATGAAGGGCGGCAGTGGCTGGAAGCACTTTGCCGACAAGCTGAACTGAGGGGACATCGGCAGCGATTTGATGCCAGCGATTTTACGGATCTCTTATGGAGGGCGGCAGTGGCTGGAAGCACTTTGCCGACAAGCTGAACTGAGGGGACATCGGCAGCGAGATTTGATGCCAGCGATTTTACGGATCCCTTATGAAGGGCGGCAGTGGCTGGAAGCTCTTTGCCGACAAGCTGAACTGAGGGAACATCGGCAGCGAGATTTGATGCCAGCGATTTTACGGATCTCTTATTAAGGGCGGCAGTGGCTGGAAGCTCTTTGCCGACAAGCTGAACTGAGGGGACATCGGCAGCGAGATTTGATGCCAGCGATTTTACGGATCTCTTATGGAGGGCGGCAGTGGCTGGAAGCACTTTGCCGACAAGCTGAACTGAGGGGACATCGGCAGCGAGATTTGATGCCAGAGATTTTACGGATCTCTTATGGAGGGCGGCAGTGGCTGGAAGCACTTTGCCGACAAGCTGAACGGAAGGGACATCGGCAGCGAGATTTGATGCCAGCGATTTTACGGATCTCTTATGAAGGGCGGCAGTGGCTGGAAGCACTTTGCCGACAAGCTGAACTGAGGGACATCGGCAGCGAGATTTGATGCCAGCGATTTTACGGATCTCTTATGGAGGGCGGCAGTGGCTGGAAGCACTTTGCCGACAAGCTGAACTGAGGGACATCGGCAGCGAGATTTGATGCCAGCGATTTTACGGATCCCTTTATGAAGGGCGGCAGTGGCTGGAAGCACTTTGCCGACAAGCTGAACTGAGGGGACATCGGCAGCGAGATTTGATGCCAGCGATTTTACGGATCTCTTATGGAGGGCGGCAGTGGCTGGAAGCACTTTGCCGACAAGCTGAACTGAGGGGACATCGGCAGCGAGATTTGATGCCAGCGATTTTACGGATCCCTTATGAAGGGCGGCAGTGGCTGGAAGCACTTTGCTGACAAGCTGAACTGAGGGGACATCGGCAGCGAGATTTGATGCCAGCGATTTTACGGATCTCTTATGGAGGGCGGCAGTCGCTGGAAGCACTTTGCCGACAAGCTGAACTGAGGGGACATCGGCAGCGAGATTTGATGCCAGCGATTTTACGGATCCCTTATGAAGGGCGGCAGTGGCTGGAAGCACTTTGCCGACAAGCTGAACTGAGGGGACATCGGCAGCGAGATTTGATGCCAGCGATTTTACGGATCTCTTATTGAGGGCGGCAGTGGCTGGAAGCACTTTGCCGACAAGCTGAACTGAGGGGACATCGGCAGCGAGATTTGATGCCAGCGATTTTACGGATCTCTTATGGAGGGCGGCAGTGGCTGGAAGCACTTTGCCGACAAGCTGAACTGAGGGGACATCGGCAGCGAGATTTGATGCCAGCGATTTTACGGATCCCTTATGAAGGGCGGCAGTTGCTGGAAGCACTTTGCCGACAAGCTGAACTGAGGGGACATCGGCAGCGAGATTTGATGCCAGCGATTTTACGGATCCCTTATGGAGGGCGGCAGTGGCTGGAAGCTGTGACTTTTTACTCGCCAATGGTAAACCTATGAATAGGAGAAAAAAATCATAAATTTGCAATGTTGATAATGGAGAAATCATCTATTTAAAATTTGATAATTTCTATTTTATTAATTATTTTACTGACGCGATTATAATTTTTATTTTCGAAATAATTCTAAAAACAACCTTATAATTTACAAGGACGTGATCATTGACTGTTTATGAAGGAGTGATGCTAGAACTGTGAAATCTTGCAGGCATTTATTTTTACTGTTCTTTTTGAGAACTGCATTGATTCTTTCTATTTAGTGGCACGCGACTGTTCAAAGAAGACTGTTCATCATTGCGATACTGATTCCTAGTGATTTCATGTTGGGGAACAGATTATAATTCTATTAAGGATCAAAGTAGATAATCAAATAATTTAAGCATAGCAGCCATTGACACCAATGACCTGTTTGCTGGATTATTGATCTGATGAAACAAGTTCCCTCTCGTTATTTTTCCCTGGGCGTTTGGTCTTCATAGCGTTTCATAACGGCCTCAGCAACTTGGCACAGTTCTCTTAATAGATAGATAGATAGATAGATAGATAGATAGATAGATAGATAGATAGATAGATAGATAGATATGAATTGTCATAGATATAAACAGGGATAGATAGATAGATAGATAGATAGATAGATAGATAGATATGAACATACTGCGAAGAGATAGATAGATAGATAGATAGATAGATAGATAGATAGATAGATTCAAAAACGTAGGAGATGATTCGATTCACACAAACTTATAAAAAGATACATCTCTGTCCCGTTTTCACTTCAGTCTCAATGCCGTCACAGGTCAGGGTTATACCCGAGTCTGCAATGACCCCCGCCTCAGAAAGTGGGGCAATTTGGATGGGTGCCTTATCCCCCGGAAGTCAGTGTATTCATGCCAGCTTTATTGTAATTATTTGTTTGCGTGTTGCATGTTATTTTGGAAATAAAATCATGCTTCAAAATCCTGAAGCTTTGTTCTTCTACTAAGATTGACTGATTGATTCGTTTTTACGGCTTATCAACCCTTTACAGGTTATTTAAAGCCAGAAAATATTTTTTGATTATAAGAATGGTTTTTGAAATAATAATGATATAATGATACAAGTGCCTTTTCCAAACGGTTTTTGCTTGAAAGGGAATATAATGAACCCGATTGGAATTGGAACTCAGCACATCGATTAACAATTCCGAGACACTATTTATTACAATACCCGCACATCTTAGCCTACGGCTCTGGTACGCTCAATCAGTTACCTATCTAGGTACTGACCAGGCACAACGTTGCTTAACTTCGGTGATTGTAGAAAAAATGTCTATTTTACTCATAACACAAAGTTCTTACGCAAAAATGGCTGCATCATATGACCCGGTATTCCTGGTGCATATTTAGAGATTCTTGTTAAGATCCAAAGTAGAATCAGCAATGTTATTGGTCCTGACCTAGCATCTCGGCTTGAGTCACTTTCCCATCGTCATAATGTAGCCTCCTTGTGCCTTTTCTATAAATACTTTCATGGTAATTGCTCGAATGAACTCTTCGCTAGATTTTATGAATTCATGCGCAGTGCTCGATTGGCGGTTAGGTCTCATCAATTTACAATTGGATTGGCTAGATGTAATTGTAAGTTCTATGCTAACAGTTTCGTTTCTCGAACTTCTCGCTTTTGGAACTCTCTTCTGGCTCCATGTTTCCTGGCCAACTTTTATCTTCAAAAAATTTAAATGCAATGTCAATCGTTATCTACTGTCTTCTTGATTCCTCTTCTTTTATTCTTTTATCTCCTTAATAACGTTTCTCTTTTGTCTTATTCTCTCACACTCAGTAACCCCCTCTTGTGTCTTAGTGGCTTTGTTACCTTGCAATGGGTGAAATGATGAAAAAATATATAAATGAAAATAAAAATCAGGGAATAATATAAGCGACGTTTACTTACCAGACGTTGCCAAGACGGTCAGCGACAAGATAAGGAATAATTTCACCTCCATTGTAATCTGGAATTATAAAAACAACATCTTCAATATGACGATTATTATTACAGACTCTGACCATCCCACTCTTCATTTAATTATAATCTTTTTTTTTATTCATGGAAAATGAATAAGCGACTTGAAGTCACAGAAATATGGTTTTACACAAGGCTGCTGAGAATACCATGAACCAAACAGATAGTTGGGCTCATAATGAGGAAAGAATGCTTGGAAAATTTGATACTCACAAGGACAGATTGAAGACGAAAGGGACAAAGGAAAAATTGCATAACCTACCAAGCGAGCTTGAAACAATTGCTGGTAGTTATGGAGAGATAACAGTAATGCAAAAATTATTAGGAGTTACAAAGGACAGGAAAATGTGGAGAGCCATGATCGTCATGATTTGGGAGAGATACGTTATATTTTAACAGTGTGAGTAACTTCTACCGGTCTGCGCATTCGAGCATTCTCTTTATTAACATTCTCGAATGCACAGGCCGGTAGATGTAATTCCCACTATTTGAAAGAGCGGGGCGTCTACTCAGACACATGATGCACTGGGAATGAAAGGGGGACAACTCATATCATGAACCAAACAGAACCAAAAATAAAAATGTTTAAAGATTTTAACATATGAAAAATTTTCCCGAAAACTAAAATACTGTTTTCAAAACAAATTTTAAAACAATCCCGTTTGTGTTGTGTTGGAATTTTTTATAAAACTTTTTTTTTTCAGCGCAGATGTGCGTG